CTCGTATGTGGTAAAAACTTAAGGTTTTAAATTTATAATCTCAAGTTTAAATTTTAAATTAATATAAAAATTAATATACATGATTTTTATGAATTTAATTTTTAATTTAATAATTAATTTTTAATAATATTAATTAATAGAAGTTTTAAACAAGCCATCCTTAAAAAAAAAAATTGGAAGAACGGCCTGAATTATGCGCACTAACCCATGCCATGTGTTAATATATATATGTATATATACATAACTAAGTAATATTTCATGTGTAGGTTGATTGATGTTGATTGATACCTGTTGACAAAGAGAGTGAGTACATCAAGTGTCCCACAAAGATCAGAGATGTCATCAATTACGAAGATTAGTGAAATAGTTTTTGCGAGTACAATCCTTTCCTCAGCTTGGATCATTGAGGCATGTCATACATAAGACCCTAAATACAATTTTGTGGGGTGGCCTCTTGCAAACGTTAGCTCCTTGTCCAAGCCGCGATCCGTTCACCACCTAACATTCATAGAGATGAGCATGGTTGTCAAAATCAAGTTTTAAATCATAAAATCGTATAATTTTACGATTTTAGATATATATTTTGAGTAAAAATTATATTAAAATTGAAGTCCCATGAAATCAAAAAGAAAAATCGTAACATCACAATTTTATGGTAAAATCATTTGAAATCTTGATTTTATATGGAGTGGAGGAATCACCCTGATGGTTGGTCGGTTGTTGTGAGATGGAGGAGATGACTTGCGACTATTGTTAGGTGAAGGAGAGTAGGTTGATGATGAGGAATGAGTGATGAGAATGGAGATTGGTGACAAAAGGGGGGAAAACTGATGGTAAGAGAAAATTGAGAAAGAAGGCTCTAGATGGGAGAAGAATCAGGTGATGACCGATGATCAAGATGAAGGCTGTTGGATTTGTTGGTTTTTCTTGGTGGATTTCACCTCCTAATTTTTACTTTCTTCACATGCATCCCTTTCTTGAGTTTTTTTTTTTTTTTTCAAATTTCGTCATAAAATTTTCTCTTTTTACATGTAGCACATGAAGCAAAATAAAATATATGTTAGTTATATTAATATAAAAATGTAAATTTTTATTTTTTATTTATTAAATTTAGTAAACTCTCGATTTTACCTATTCAATTTTATAATTCTGATTTTACCTAATGATTTAGGTAAAATCTTGATTTTGATAACCTTGGAGATGAGACTGTTAAGATTAGGGGAGAGGGGAATTAGTTGACATAAAACTCCAAACTTGAAACTTTTAC